CTAAGATAGTGGGGCCTGAGCCAGAGAAGCCTTCCTGATCCACAACCCCCCAAAGCATGCTCTGACTGTGCTCACCGCACTTCTCCATAGCGCCTGCATGCTGCCCGGGGCTGCCCTGCCCCTTAGTGACCCAGGTCAATAGATAGAGCCTCACCTAATTCCCAGGAATTCAACCTGGTCTTTTTGCCTCAGCCTAGGTCTTAGAGGGAGCCCCTGGCATGTGGATGCAGGCATGTGCCACCTATAGAGAGAATTTGTGAACTGACTCTGAATGTGGCCTGCTCATCTCTCTGGACCTGAAACTTGGGCCTGCAAGGGAAGAGGAAGCCGGGAAGGCCTGTCTTCAAGGAGAGAAATGAGTCATGCTTGCCTCCCTCCGGTAGCAGCACTTCTGGGTAGCATGAGTAGTTGAAGTTTATAATTAGAAGGTGCTTGCTTGCCTGCCTGTCAGAGCAGAGGAGTAGCTGCAAAGGAGTCTCTAAGGCACAGGCTGAGGTGCAAATCTACCCACTTCTACTTTGGGGCTTCTGTTTTGTTCATGCCAGTCCCAGCTAGATGTGGGCCACTGAACTAATGCCTGTGGGCCCCTCTGGGTTCTCTACTCAGCCATGTGGAAGCCTTCTTAGAAAACTGCTCAGGCCAATCCTATCCTCCTCATCCCTCTGGCCTGGCTACAGGCTCTTCCTGAGTGTTAGACCATATGTCAACCTTGAGTTTGGTCTGGATTCAGTTAGAATGGCCAAGGCAACACAGGGGCTCCTTATGCTTCACCCTTCGGTTTTCATCCAGAAAACTGAACAATACCAGTGTCCGGGCTATACCCCAGAGCAAGTATGTTAAAACCATTGGACATGGGAGTGGGAAGTAGATGAAGCTGATGTAGAACCAAAGCCCTGACTCAGTTAATCTACTGCTTCTCATCTGGAATGTAGCCCTCCAAAAGACTATCCATTTATTCCCATGAGCAGTACTGGTGTGTCTTGCTGAAATGCTGATTTGGTCTCAGTAGGCCTCGGCTAGACTGGTAGCTTCTTTTGTAAGGAGTGACTGGGAGGATTCAATGAGATTGTCACTTAGCGGCACGGTGGCACATACCGTCTCCTCACAGATCCTGCATGTTGTTTGTGACTTTTCCTCCTGTGTGCTCCTTCACTGACACAGCGCTCCACCACAGGAGCAATAGTGAGGAGGGAGCAGAAGCAGTGTGTTTCTTTCAGTCCCACAGAGGGTTGCTGTACGACACAGAACTGACTTATAGCACATAACAGCAACAGCAACAAACTTTCCTTAAAGCACTCCATTGTGAGCCCAAAGGTCAGCAGTTCAAACCCACGAGTAGCTCCCTGGGAGAAAGATGAAAGATGGGCCAGGCTGCTTCTCTGTAGATCACCATCTTGGGAGCTCATGGAGCGGTTCGACTCTGTCCTATAGGGTCAAAATGGACGTGACAATAATGGCATTGATTTTGGTGTAGCTTCTTTACAAAATGCTACTTTGAAAAGTAAGCCTCTCTCGCTGACAAGTAAAAAGGCTATTTAAAAAATAACTGATTAAATAGTTTTTAAATGTATAAAACAGCAAATGAAAGTCTCTTCCCTCTATACTCCTTCATAGTAAACCTACACTTAGTGCAGCCAAGAGTGACCACGTGTTTTATGCAGATAGACTAGTGGGTGTGCATATGTATGTGTTTCGTGCATGTATACTAGTGATATCTAAGACCTTTGTGAGGTATGTGGAACTTACTAGTGTTATTGTTCCCTCTATAGACTTGCCTGTTTAGGTGAAATGGGGATATAAAGCCATTTGGAGACATGAAAGGGACTACGGACCATCGTCTTGGCGCTTGCCAGTGTCTATCTGACCAGCAAGCCTGGTCTTTTCAATGAGTTTGAGTTGTGTTCCACATTTTTCTCTTACTCTGCTGAATACAATCTAGTTCTGACGTCAGGGTAAGGGAGACTGATATGCACATGGTCCATTAACTCATTTTGGTTAATTGTGTGATTGTGTGTGTGTGTGTGTGTGGTCACTTTTCCTCACTCATCTTTCCTCTGGACAAAGACAGCAAACTGCTGAGGTGGGGAAGAGGAGGAATGGAAATGGGAGCTCAGGGAGGAAGTGGCATGAGCGTTATCTCATGGTGGGTATTGAAATTAAAAGATGATCTGAAAAAATCACAGAATATATGGATTCTATAGCAAAGTGTGGTGAAAAAACTAGGTGGTGCACAGCTATCAAAACAATAATCTGAGAGGGGTCTCGGGGAGGAGATGAGCCAGTCAGGGTGCGATGTAACAACGATGAAAAATACAACTTTCCTCTAGTTCCTAAAGGTTTCCTCCCCGCTCCCACTACCATGACTCGAATTCTATCTTGCAAGACTGGCTAGACCAGAGGAGGTACACTGGTACAGATAGGAACTGAAAATCCAGGGAATCCAGGGCGGATGAGCCCTATAGGACCAGTGGTGTGAGTGGCAAAACAGGGAGGGTAAAGGGAGAAGGGGTAGGAAAGAGGGAACCAATTACATGGAACGGTGTGTGACCTCCTCCCTGGGGGACAGACAGCCGAAAAGCGGGTGAAGGGAGACGTCGGACAGGGTAAGATATGACAAAATAACAATGTATAAACTATCAAGGGCTCATGAGGGAGTTGGGAGCGGGGAGGGAGGGAAAAATGAGGACCTAATGCCGGGGGTTTAAGTGGAGAGAAATGTTTTGAGAATGATGAGGGCAATGAATGTACAAATGCGCTTTACACAATTGATGGGTGTATGGATTGTGATAAGAGTTGTATAAGCCCCTAATAAAATGATTTTTAAATAAAACAAAGGGAAAAAAAATAATCTGTGGTTTAAAGTCTTGTTTTCAAATAAGCAACCATCCAAGTCAGTTGTCAAATATAAGCCCATATGGAAGAAGCACAGCAATCTGTGTGATACAAGGATTGTAAATAATCTAATCCAAATGTATCTGAACTTAAATTGTGATCTCCTGGTTCACAGAAGGCTATGGATGACAGTGGAAGCCCCAGATCCATTTGAAGGGTCCAGACAGGAATTAACCCTCGGATAATAGTCGAGGGATGTGAATAGCCCTATAATCAGACAGAGAGCATTGTAAAGTCAATTATGGCAGACATTCTCAGGTCAAAATGTAATGTCTTATCATTTGATCTCCCTTTTGACCCATTTGAAAGCTGCTTCAGTTAAAAAATAAAATAATAGGAAAGGAAAATACATGTGGATCAAATCCCTGTTGCATCCCCTCTGCCCATGGGGCAGGGCTGTGAACAGCCTGGCTAACATGCAGAGTGCATTAGAAAGTGGATTATTGCAGAGGCAGTTAGGTTATATTTAGCAACCTTTCATCTCCCTTATGATCTATTTAAATTTTGTTCTAGTTTTTAATATTTTCTGCTTTCTTTTTGATTGAGGTTCTTATGTATTTTAGTTAGTTGTTCTTGTTGGGTTTTCTGTATCCAGGATGGGTAGATCTATATGGAGACAGTCCCTGAATTAATGGCTCCTTGGGGGTATGGCAGGGTAGGTTGAAGGGAAATGGGGAGCTAATAACAATGAGTACAAAATGGGGGAAAGGTTCTGAGCCTGCTTGTGGTGATGATTGTATAACTCTTCTTGAAGTGATTGAAACTATTTAATTGTATGATATGTGAATTATATGCCAATAAAACTGCTGGGGTGAAATTCAATGAGATGACACAAAATGTATACGCATTATTGGATGGAAAATAGATTTGCTCTGTAAACTGCCATCTAATTCACAAAAAAAGAAGTTTTAGGTGGTTTTGTTTGTTTGTTTGTTTTAGGTGTTTTTAACCACCAATGGGACCCCATACGCCTGTGTAGTTGGGGACACACTAGATGGGGGAACACCTGCAACACTTGCCCCCAGCTTGGATAAAGTTCTTGGCTGCTCTCACAGGGGCAGAAGTGGGTAGGACAGGTTCCTGGAAGGACTAAGCATCCTTGTATGGTGAGGAGTGTTGTGACAAGTCCCGTCACTGACCAGCATCACTGGGTACTAAGGCCGCTGGCCAGGGTCAGGGTGACGCAGGACACGTTGTCTCCAGACAGATCATTTCACTCTGAGCTACTCTTCTCACTTGTAAAGTTGATGCTGATATGTGGGTTAATATCCAGTACACACCCCATTATCCCCCTTAACACCTCTAAGCAGAGTACCTCACTGCCTGTACAGCAGGAGAGACCAGCAGCTTAGAGAACACCTTATCTGATGACTCCAGAAACTTGAAGTCTACAGACCCAAGAGTTGCCCTTGACCCTAGAACTGAGCTATCTAGAGACCAACAGTGTATGAGTCTTGGGCAAGGTGCTAGAGCCTGGGTTTCATGGGAGGCAGCTGTGTCCCTAGACAGTGATGGCCCACAAAGCAACTGTCAGGGCTGTCCAAGGGTTGGGGGACATGTTTCTGAAGGAAGCCTTGGGTGTGTTTTCCAAATAACACCTGGCTTCCGCCTCACTCAGGGTGACCCATGCCTCATCCTGGTCTGAACCATTTGTCTCAGGCCTTGTCTGAGGTGTAGGTTCAACCACTCTCCGTGCTTATATATACCCTACACACCTGCCTCAGGACCTTTGCATTTGCTGTTATTTTGCTAGAATGTTCCTTTCTTATCACAGGGAGCTGTCAGTCCTGTCAAAAAACTACATTTACCACCCAGGCTGCCTTGATCTTCTACCTGTGGGTCTGCTGCCTTTGTTTTCTGTATCAACTCTCTTCTCCCACTGGGGGTTACCTCTGAGAGCAGGCTCTCTGTATATTAGGCCCTACAATAAAGTAATGTGCACAGAACAGGTACTGAACCAGCCAGGAGCCAGCCCTCTGCCTGAGCTCATAGTTAACACCTCCCACCCGCTACCCCGGGCCCCTCTTCCATAGCCCTGCTGGGGACTTCCCCTGTGTACCACAATGCTCTGGGAGGAAGGCCTCATGGGGTGCTTTGATATCTCACAGCCTCCTTCTCTCCCAGGAAGCTATGCCCCAGACATTTGTCTTCTCCAGCGTATTCTCGCCCAGCTGTAGTGAACAGGGACAGCCCAACATGGGGGAGTGCAGCAAGAGTGGCTCCGGAGACCTCATCTTCCAAGATGGACACCTCATCTCAGGGTCTCTTGAAGCCCTGGTGGAACACCTGGTCCCCACGGTGGACTATTACCCTGATGTGAGTGCTGGAGTTAAGGGTGATACACAAGGCGGTGGGGGGAGGGGGTGGCACTCTCCAGGGGATATGCTGGACAGAGCTCACAAGAAAGTGGCAGGTAGCATTTTGGGGAAGCAAGCACAGAAAAGGATTCTGGGATTCTGATCTCAGACCATCCCTCCCACCTCTCTGGAGCAGGGACCTAAGTTCTAGGCAGGGTGTCGGGGAAGAAGAGGAGTTTTAAGGGCAAAACCAGCACCTGGAGGTCCTGTGACACCTCAGCATGCTCGCTGGCCGCTGTGGCTAGCGGGAGAGCTGTCTGTGCACAGAGTGCTGCCTAGGTGCGGAGTCATGGGTGAGTGCAGGGCTCCACGCAGAGAGCAGAACCCTTGTCTATTTATACGCCTGTGCAGATATGGGTGCAAGGTGCGTTCAGAGCACATGCCTACTACAAGCAGGACCAGCCATCAACAAAGCAAATGAGGACCCCCACCCCCTTTCTTCCCTTTTTCCTCACAAGAACATGGTTTTCAGGGTTGGAGCAGAGGGATAAGTTCCTTTTCTGCTTCTCTTCCATTGCCTATGAGCACCATCGCTTAGCCACATGAGCAGTGTGGCCCGCTTGCTTCCTTTGCTGAGCTGACCGTTGCTGGAAGGCTAACCAGGCTAGGCAGACAGAGCTTGCCAAGGAATGAAGGAGGAATTACTGGGTTGCGGAGTTCCTTTGCAGGAGCCACTGGCCCATATTAATATGTCCAATTTGCTTTCTGCCTTTCTGGGTCTTCTGAGGTTTTACCTTTGTATCGCCCAATCATCCATTCATCTGTTCATTCATGTACCAACCATCCATTCACAATCCTCTGTGTTTATCTGCCTATTTATATGTCCTTTTGTCCATCTGTCCATCCATCTGCCCTTACCTCCCTCTGCCCATCTAACCCCAAAACTCTCAGAACCCAGCCTGGGTTGGTGGAGAGCCCGGGTGATTTACTGAGCTGCCTTTCATCGGCCTTGAAGATGATCAGGGCATGTAAGGATGGGACCCAGCAGGGGGCTGCTTCCCAGGAGAGGTCAAGTGGATGGCAGTAAGGCAGAACAGAGGCCGCATCTGATTTGGCGTATGAGGCCAAAGCTGAGGAATAGGGCTAACAATGCCATGACAGCCTGGGACACCCCTGTTAGGATTTGGAGGGAGAGCAGGCCCACGAGAACAGAGCAGTGCATGACAGCCTCAGGCTGGGTGAGCTCGGCTCGGAGAGGAGCACCCGGCTGGAAAAGGAGCACTTGTCAGGGAGGCTTTGCAGGAGGTGGGAGGTAATGTTTCAGCTATGCCTATAAAGTGGGCAGGAGACAAAGGAGAGGGTCTTCAAGGTAAAAATGAAGAAAATGGGTGGGGGGAGGCATTTCGAGGTGAAAGAGAAGGGCCAGTGAGGCCATGCTCTGGCCTGGGGTCAGCCTCCCTGAAGCAGTGGCACGAAGCCATGCGGGTGGTTGTCTCACGCCACCACTGACCATGGTTTGCCTTTTCCCTGTGTCCCTTCTCCAGAAGACGTACATTTTCACTTTTCTGCTGACTTCCCGGGTCTTCATCCCCCCTAATGACCTGCTGGCCCGAGTAGGGCGGCTCTGCTTGGCACAAAGGCAGCAGCTGGAAGCGGGCCCTGACCAGGTAGGGTCAATCTGCCTCTCCACCTGCCCTCTTGCTCACCTCAAGAACAGAGCCTGTGCTGAGTAGCTCTCAGGATAGGCGCTGCTGCGGACTCTGGCATGGCCAAGCCCCCCAAGGTATGGAGGGTATGCTCTGAGCTGGCCACTCTTTTCCCAGTAAAGGCTCTAACAGACCACACTGCCCATCTACCTGTCAATGCTGGGACCCCTGAAACCTGAGGTCTGAGCACAGGTCATGGAACAGAAGCCAGTGGGGCCTATCCCTCAGCCAACTAGGACTGGGGTTCAAGTGGAATACACCCAGCTGACACCTGCTCATGTTAGAGAGAGAGTGCTCAGTGGCCCACACATGAGGCCGTTTGTATAGATGTCCCTGTGTGTGGGAGCCCAGGTCTGGGTAGTCAGGAAGGGCATAACACTACAATGGCCACTGAGCTCATGAGTTAGCTGCAGAAGATGGGGACATCCCTGTGCCTGGGTCATCCCTGGGCTGTGTCATCACACCACAGGGGGACGGTACCTAGGCACCAAGAGGCAGCCTGGCTGTAGCAGAGTATAGCCTGTCCCTATTTGCTGATAAATATTCTACCGTCTCTCTCCCCTATAAAGATTTGCAAAGGAGGTCTGTATACTTGCCATTTCCCTTGGACTAGAGAGTCTCCTTACAGTAACTGGTACTGGGGGGTGGGGGGGCCCTGCCCAGAGCCATGGCTGAGGGAACAGATCCTGCAGACTCAGACTGCTGCCTAGCTAAGCATCCTGGGGGATCATCCTCATGCTTGCCAGTCAATACAAGTGGGCCAACACAAGTGCTCTTAAGGGAGTCTGAATAGAAGGTAAAGAAACCCAAAAGCAGCAGGGGATTGTGGGGACATAAGGGACATGGAAGAACATAGTGCAGCTAGAGGGGCTCCAGTGGTGAAGAGCAGGAGCCATGAACTTAAGAGTGTGAAGGGAACCTTATCATTCACTCTAGGGACTAAGACTGCCCAGGAGCAGGAATACTTTCGATGGGCACCATAGTGCTAGGCTTGTATTTCTGGCCTGCTTCCTCGCAGGGAGCAGAGGGAGGCCCTCAAGACCTGAAAGATCAGTATTTGGACAGTGGGATACAAGAAACAGAGAGTAGGAGATGGTTGAGGTAGCCTAGAGGGCACTTAGTGAGACGTGAGGTCTCTCCCAGTACCTGCAGCCCGTCTGAGACTGGGAAAGGCCCAGTGTGGCTCTCCCACATCCAAGATGCTCGGGAGTCCTGGACTAGTTAGGCAGGGGATGGCGGATCTCAGATTATTTATTTGAGGGGGTTATCATTGCTTCCTTGGCTTCCAGTAAGAGGCTGGCTTTACTGGTACTAGTCAGCTTTCACTGCGCGCTTTGCTGTGGTGACTTCTTAAACTCAAGCTATCAAGTCACTTCGACTAACTCTTTACAGGAGTAAAAGCCTACCCTTTCTCCCATGAGGCAACTGGAATCTTTGAACTGCTGACCTTGAAGTTAGCAGCCCAGTTCTAAACCCATTATGCCGCCAAGGCTCCTTTGGGGGTAACTTCCAGTCGCAGCAAATGACACTAGTTTTCGGTGCCATGGTAGTAGTAAGTAATAGGTCTTTTGAAAATGAATTTAAGTGAAAAGGAGTTGATCTAAGGGAAATAAGCAGCGAAGTACGTCCAAGGTGACAAAACTGCCCATTGCGGCAGATGTGGGCTGGGTGCCTGCCCTAGGAGTCAGCGAGTGGGGGTGGGGCACACATCTCTGTCCATCTTGTCATTCCTGGGGTTCATTTTCCACTCAGGCTAAGCGGAAATCCTTTTCAGTCAAGACTGTACAGCTTCTGAAGGAGTGGACCGAGGCCTTCCCGTGCGACTTCCAGGAAGAGAAGGCCATGGCTGAGCTGCGCGCCATCACTCACTGCATTACTCAACGTGATGAGGTGAGGCCTGCCCTCTGCTTTCTTGAGTATGAGGCTACAAGGGTGGGGCCCTGTTCCCACAGGACACCCTATGGGTGCCGAATCTGAAAAGATTCTGGGCTTACCATTCCCTGGGGTTGGACTTACCACTGCAAGCTTGGGACCATGGGGGGCCCAAGGGGCAGTGGGAAGGGGCATCATGGTGAATATGTAGGTTTGTCCAGGCTCATCCCTCCTGACCTCTTACACCCTGTCCCTAAGGTGAGGGCCTCCCCAGTTTGAATAGAGAACACCAATCCAGAGGTTAGTAGCACCCCATCCCCACTCTTGGTTCCAAGCTCACTCTTGGGACTCTAGTAGAGAAAAACCAAGCCTGCTTCTGACCCTCCAGAGTCAGGGTTTCCTGCACTAGCTGCCCACTAGCAATAAGGGTTCTGGGCATGCTCTGCAGCTCCCACTGCTCAAATATTGGAAAACCCGAGGCAGCTCGGGGGGCTGAGGGCTCTTAGAAGAGACTCTGGAGAAAGCCTTTCCTGTTGTCCTGGTGCATTCCTCCTATTCCTCTTGCTGCAGGAGAGAGGGCATTGAGAAGTAGCTCGCTAGCCAGTCCGCACTTTTCAGACCCAGAATTCACACTTGGCGCTGCCCTCAACTCCTTCCACTGAGTGGCTATCTGCCCCTCACCCAGCAGACTGGAGGTGAGGGAATACCTTAAGAAATGGAATTTTTTTTTCAAAGCTATGTATTTAATTTTTTACAAAACAACCTTATCACCATCAAAGTACTCTCCATTACACTTAATACATTTGTCAAATCTGTGATTCCATTCTTGGAAACATTTTTCAAACTCATCTGTTTGGATGGCTGACTTCACCTCCTTAATTTTTTCTTCACCTCTTCCACATTAAATATCGGTCCTTTCGTGTCCCTCTACATTTGTGGAAACAAAAAAAAGTCACACGGAGCTAGGTCAGGTGAGTCAGGGGCATGAAGCAAGAAAGGTATGCTGTTTCTTCCAAAAGCTGGTGCACTGAGATGACTGTGTGAGCAGGTGCATTTGTGTGGTGGCAAAACCAGTCCCTCATCTTCCACACATCAGGGATTTTTTGTCACACACTGTTATGCAATCTTTCCAGAACCTCTAAATAGAAAGCTCAATGAACACTCTGACCTGGTGGAACAAACTCTAAATGCACTGTCCGCCTCATATCAAAAAACAAATGAGCATCATCTTGATCTTTGATTTCACTTGATGAGCTTTTTGTGGGTGAGGGGACGATGGCGTCTTCCACTGGCTTGATTGATGTTTGGTTTGGGGTCGTAAGAATAGCACCATGTCTCCTCGCCTTGGAAAACATCTGGGTTCCTTTCAAGGCACAGCATGTTTCCAGTCAAGGCTCTTTTCTGATGGTCAGTCAGAGTCTGCGGCACAAATTTCGCAAGGCCCGTTCTCATTCCCAAATCCTCCACTAAAATTAGCTGGACTGAGCTCCAAGATAGTTCAGCTAACTTCCCCATCTCCTCAATGGTCCATCGTTAGTCTTCGAGCACAAGTGCATGAATTTTGTCAATATTTGCATCCTCTCAGGAAGCTGACGGACATCTGGGACAAAGTTTGTCACCAATCAACATTTCACATTTTTTGAAATGAGAAAACCATTCCTACATTTGAGTTTTTTCCATAGCACTGTCTTTGTATGCTGTCTTCAACAGTACAACGGTTTCCGTGGCATTCAGCCGCACACTCTTCCCTTAAATCGGCCATCACAAAAAACGAGGTTCGAGCAAAACTGCTTTTACAAAAAAATTCACTTTGACCAGAAAGAACCTTCCCAGGCAAGACCACTGGGTGTACTAACTCAGAGTGAGTTGTTGGATGCTCGCCTAGAGGGGGAAAATACCTTCTATGAAGGGTGGAGCTTTTCCCCATTTGGGGGGGGGTACCCCTTGGTATGTATGATGGGTACTGCCCTACTCTGTTATGTCTCAGCAGGTGGTGGCTTTAGTTCTACCCTGGGGTAGGGATAGGGGAATGTGAGCTCAGGCAGCAAGTGTACTCAACAGCTGTCTACACTTGTGGTCTGCTCATGCTGATGCCTCATTTCTTTCCTTTCTGATCTCCCAGGAGAACAGCACCGTGAAGAAAGCTGTGACCCAAATGACACAGAAGCTGCTACTGTCCCTGGCAGCTCGGAGCCAGCTCCAGGAGATCTGGGAGAAGTTCCACCCCTCAGCCATGAACAAAGGGGCTGTCCTCAATACTAAATCACCGACCACCCAGAAGGACATCCTGAGTGTGTGTTGTGACCCTCTGGTGCTGGCTCAGCAGCTGACCTACATTGAGCTGGTCAGTGTAGACTTGTTACCTGCCCAGGGAGTCGGGGTGTGCTTCTCAACCAGGACATGGTAGACTTTAGTGCTGTTCTCAGTATGGTACCCAAGTTCTACCCTCAGGCTACCAAGCCTGGCTATCAAGTTACAACCTATTGACCAGACCTGGCCCCATGTGCCTGGGACAGAGCAGAGACATAGCATCCCAGGAAGTAGGAGGGGCTGAGTCAGCACTGTCCTTTTGATCTCAAGGTATGTGCTAGGGCCATCAAAGTGGCCTCAAGAGGGAGGAGGGACCTGGAAGATAGCTAAGGGGGTTAACAAGAGAGAGACAGACATCCAACAACGACATTTGTATCACATCTCTGTCCCTTCCTCTCCCAGAAGAGAGCCTCTCAGACACTCATGGTTCATGTGGGGGCACCCAGCAGAAGCCAAGGGCCCTCAACTGTGGAGGCATTGTTCCCGCAGGAAGTAGCTGAGCCTCATACCTGATGGCTTCTTTGCTGTTCTGAATGAAGCACCCTACATGGTCCCAGAATTGGCCCTCTCTGGTGTGTCTGACCTGCCCAAGGTGTGTGGGCTTCTTACCACCAAGACTTACCACCCCTTGCCACCCCTAGGAGCAGATCCACAGCATCCACCCAGAGGACCTGATGCAGATCCTCAGCCACAGAGACTCCCTGGATAACCAAAGGGTGAGTGGAACTCTGTGACCCAATGCCTCTGTTCAGGGGGGACATGGGCCTTATAAGTTAATAGCTGGAGGTTGGCATTGGCCTCAGGTTGGAGGAAGGGGACTAGCTTAGCATCTCATCTTACACCTTGGCTGGGAAATCCAAGTAATAGGTAAGTGTTCTCTGGCTCCCCTGTGAATATGTTGAGCTAGGCCAGCCTTGGAAACATGTCCAACCTACCTTACCCTACTCCCTCAGGCCAGGCTTTGTGATTCTTGCTCTTGGGACTAGCAAGACTTGGCTCCATATGACCTGACATCTCCCTGCAGTGCCAAGGAGCTCAGACCAAGATCTACAGCCTGGAGGCCTACGACAACTGGTTCAACTGCCTCAGCATGCTGGTGGCCACTGAGGTGTGCCGGGTATGCCAGCGCATGATGCATGCCAGAGAGTTCCACTTTCATGCCCATTCAGACTACCTGGGTTCTGAATCCTGTCCAGTTCCAGTGATAGGATAAAATTATTAACGTGGATAAGTTTAGTTCCCACTACCAGGTCCTGGCAGTACCAGCCTCCCACGTATCACCAGTGATAGTGGGAGGCATTGTCCAACTTAGTCTTGCTCTATACCCAACAAGATCTGCTACCCTGTGTCGTGTTTCTTGGAGCTTTACAACATCCCTTGAGAATGGGCAGCATCTTCCCCTTATGTCGTCTGCATCCTCCCCCCTGCCTGCCCTGCCTCTTTTATCCTGCCGAATAGCCCCCAAAGCGACGTGCCAAGGTGAGGGCTTCCTGCTCAGCACACCCCTGTGGGATGGACTAACCCTGCTCACTGCTGGCTCCCTCAGGTGGTCAAAAAGAAGCAACGGACACGCATGGTGGAGTTCTTCATTGAGGTGGCCAGGGAATGCTTCAACATTGGGAACTTCAACTCCATGATGGCCATCATCTGTGAGTGCCCAGGTGTCCTGGCCTTCCCACCCCATCCTGTTTGAGCAGGTCTGCCCCTCCTGCCCTGATCCCACCCTGCTGTTCCCACAGCTGGCATGAACCTCACTCCTGTAGCTCGGCTGAAGAAAACATGGTCCAAAGTCAAGACGGCCAAGTTTGACGTCCTAGAGGTAGATACTACCATGGTCCCATGCAGTTCCACTGCTTCCTGCACTGCCCGGAGAAGGGCCTCCTCCTGGTGGCAAGAGAGGGCTTTCCCACCATGCTCGGCTGTGCTTACACCTGCTGCCTGATGTACAGCTATGTAGCATGTATGTGCATAACTGTAGGTTTATTTACCTGGTTGATGTCTTTCTTCATACCCACTACCACCACGTCGTTTCTATTATCTACTCTATAAGACAGAGTAGACTGGCCCGAGCAGCAAGCCTCACCTTTTTCATGCAACTGGTCGATTCCCACTGCTGACCTACTGATTAGCAGGCCAATGCACAACCCATTGCGCTATCATTTAAGCTTTTCCTGGCACTTAAACTTCACTAGAAACCAGAATCATACAAAATAAGTTGCATGGAGAGGGTAAGACAGGGTTGTGACCCAGCAGAGCCACAGGTCCTAAATCTGCAACATGTAACTACAGCATTCACAGGCTTCTTCTGTCTGGAAATCTCATAGTTCCTGAACCTGGTTCAACCAGTGGCTGGCAGAGTTCATTTTCAGCACTGCCCAGATATATTGGACAGCTGAATCCACTTTTTGCAAACATTTGTGTCTTGTGGAGCTGGTCAGGCTTGGGAGGTGTTGGACTGGATAGAGGAATAAAGGAAGCTGACGAGATGCAGGTTGCAGCAGGACAGGAGAGCTATGGGCTGGCGTGCTTCCTGTAAAGCTTTCCTGGAGAGTACTGGGCTGGCCCTGAAAGCCTCTGGGCCTGGTGCTCAGGCTCTGGACTTTCTCTCTGTTTATACTCCCTTCCAGGTTAGGGATGGGGACAAAAAAAGGCTTCCCTGGTGATAGTGTGGGGCTGCCCACAAGGACAGTGACTCTCACCAGTTGTCTCCAGTTCTGCAAAGGAGTTGCCCTAAGCATGTCTGACAGAGGACAAAGGGAACAGAGCCCCGAGGTGGCCAATCTGGTCTCATGCAGTGTCTGCCTATGTACCTTGTCACAGCACCACATGGATCCATCCAGTAACTTCTGTAACTACCGCACCGCCCTGCAAGGGGCCACACAGAGGTCCCAGATGGCACACAGCAACAGAGAGAAGATTGTGATCCCTGTGTTCAACCTTTTTGTGAAGGACATTTACTTCCTGCACAAAATCCACACTAACCACCTGCCCAGTGGGCAGGTGAACTTCAAGGTAAGCTCAGCTCACTGGGGTCAGAAGGTTGTCCCAGCATATGCAGTACAGAGACCTATGTATTATAGTGTCTTAAGCTAAGAGCTTGGCCATCTATGGCCAAAGGGGTTTTGGAGCCCTGCCAGTGGAGCTTAGAAGGCCCCTTGGGACCTATTTGGGTGAGGGGGGTTCCCAACATTCGAATTGGTCCTCATGAGCGACTTTGTGATTGTGGAAAATATTAAAGACAGACAGACAGTGGGGCACAGGGGCGCCTCATCCCATGTCAGGACTGAGAGAGAGAATGTGTTTTCCAATAGGGATTACAGATCTTTCATAAAGCATGCACGTCATATAGCTAACATATTACAAAGTCATAAGAGAGTAACAGTAAACAAGCAAGGAGGCAAGTCATCTTCTTGACCTTTTGCTAGTTGACCTCGAACCCCCTGAGCCCTCCCCAGAGGTTTGCTACATTTCTGGTTGATTGGGTATAGAACCCGATTGCTCTTATCTACAGATAACCTCCAGGCACAGAGAATAGCCGGAAACATGAATGACTCATCTTATATGATAGCTCATTTATGACAGTTTCTTTATGTGGGGTTATTGGAGGGACCATGTCCAGTCATGAGAATGTGTATTAAGATTTATTCATATCTCATAACTGTGATGGTTTTCTCCCACCAGCCAGCTTTCCAGACCCGTGATTATGAGCATGGAAGATTTAGCTGCAATACATTCGCATCCAGTCCCTAGTTTATCACAGGGACCCAAAGCTCCAGGGTAGGGCTTCCTAAGCCACAGAGGCTTTTTTGGTGGGAAAATTTAATTCAGCCACTTCCCTTGTGGGATGAATGGTCTAGTTCCTAAATTTGAGCTACTAGAACTCAGTATTTAACTTCTACCCTGGTTGTAGTGCTGATCCTAACAGGGACCCAGAGAAGGAACCTCCCCTAGGAGCTTGAGGGCCTGAAAGGCTTTAGGCAAGAAGGGACGTTTTCAGAGATGAGTGGGCAAAGGATTCTATATAGAAATGAAGAACCTGCTTAGGGGCTAAGGGCTTCTGACAGAGGGGCAGTGGGCTGAGGCGCAAAGGTGATTATGATGAATATGGGAGCCCTGATGCCAGCCAAGCTTTCTGTCCATATGCAGGTAAGGGGTGAGAGAGCTGTGGATTTTCACATAGCCAGTAAGAATCTTTTGGTTGGTGTACTCTGGTAGGTATGGTCAGGGTGCCTCTTCAGACCGGGGCTTCCTAGAGAGGGACAGATACTGCTGCAGCCTAATAGGCTGGCAGAGGACAGGACAGAGCAGCCCGGGAAACTTACTGGCACTATGCTTCACACAGTGCCCATACTCATGGTCTTGAGAAGTCTGCCCACATGGGATCAGCCATGTAAGACTATAGCCCCAACTGATCGGATCCTATGAAGTAAGCAGTACACCAAACCGGAATCTGCCCCTGACCCTCAGGATCAGAGAAAGTTAAGGTGGCAAATGAACATCCATTGATTTTACTTCCCACGCAGAAATTTCGGGAAATTTCCAGACAAATCCATGACTTCATCACATGGACACAGGTGGAGTGTCCCTTTGAGAAGGACAAGAAGCTTCAGAACTACCTGCTCACAGCACCCATCTACAGTGAAGAAGGTGAGGCTGCCATTCCAGAGCCACAGTGTCCACAGTCCCTCCAGGGCCTGTGTCTCCACAGCCACCCTGGGGCAGCCTATCGCTTACCCCACTTTGCACAGGATCCGCTCAGTTCATGGGGTGAGTGTGCAGTGGGTGTGGGTCATGGGAAGACAAGAGAGGAAGGATAAGGACAGAAGAGAGGACTGGGCTCCTAGGCCTTCTCAAGAGAACGAGCCCAGGCCTGAGGTCACTGTCTCCTTGATCTAAACTATCCCTTCTGGGCCCAACTGCCCCTTGGAGAGGAGAGTTTGAGCAGGAGGGACAACTGGGATGGACATCAGACAGCCTGATGCTTTGGTTCTGAGGGGCTTTACTGTCATTCAGCTCTCTTCGTGGCCTCCTTTGAGAGTGAAGGTCCTGAGAACCACATGGAAAAGGACAGCTGGAAGACCCTCAGGTAGGAGAACTCATGGAACAGCTATGCACCCCTGGCCCAGCCCTAGGCCAAGTCTATAATGATGGGGAAGTGGAGGGCACAGGAAGACAAAGGGGAGGAAGACATCGTGGATTTTGCCTGTTGCAGAAGGAGGCCAAGGGCATGTCCACCCATATCAGATAAAGGAAGCTCTTCCACTTGCAGGGATTCAAGCGTAAAACTGCTGTGAGATGGTGAGAGGTTAAGGACTTGGTTTGAGCATCCCTTACTCCTCCTTTGGTGGCTGCTGCTTGCAATTGCAGCCCTGGCCCTCTGAAAGCCAAAGCATGGTACTGAACTCCCACCTGCTCAGAGATAGGAGCTTGCCTGCAAGTCTCTTACTGCCTAACCATTTCTGTTTTCCATACCCACCTTTAGGACCACTCTCCTTAACCGAGCCTGAGGGCTCAGCATACAGCCTGCGGAAATGAAACGGAGCACATAAAGGAGCACATTTTAATCCTGACTGATAAGCGTTTAGATAAAGGAGGCCTCGCTGGTTGGGGTCCATTTTGTATATATCTTTTATGAAAAAGAATTGGTAATTATTTCATGCATCAACCTGTGGCCCTTACAGAAAAAGTTTTGGATTTATTTTAAATAACAGGGCAGGGTCCTGTTTCAGGGAGTTGAGGGAGAGGGAGAGTATCATGGTAGATGGTATCCATGATAATGTCTTATTCTAATGAAATGTAGATTTTTATTTTCTACTTTTTATTAACATCTTAAGGAAAAATATTTTTAAAAACCCAACCAAAACTAACAGAAGCCCTACCTGTGTGGACACCTTTGCAGCCAGTATCTCTTATGTTCCGGTTAGTGCCTTAGAGGGTCCTGAAAAGGCCCACTCTTCCTGCCCCTCTTCCTAACCGGAAGTGAGTCAGGGCGGGCACCAGGAAGTTCCGCGTTGATGTCCTTGGCTCTTCTAGCACCGGCCAGCTTGGTTCTAGCAAGAAGGACTGGAGTGGCCAAGAGGTCTCTTTTACTGGATTTCTGGATTTGAACCTTTGAGGACAGGCTTTCCAAAGTTTACATTTGGTTTTCCCTCCATCGGGGATTTGTGGGGTAGGAAAGAGGGATCACGTGCTGGGTGCTCCTGCTGACCCAGTGGAGTTGAGAGCCCTGCAGAAGCTCCAGGTCATTCACTTGGCAGCACATTTTCTGTTGAAATATGTCTAAAAAAATTATTCTTCAACTGAATTTTAGGAAACAAGGAAATATAAAAACCAGGAAAATCCTGAAAATGTGCCAGTTTTTAAGATCATAACTGAAAGACACATTTATTTGTAATGAAAAGAATAGAATTTCAAATTGTTATGTGAAAATAAGCTCTTAATTAAATCAGGTATTATTGTGGCCTACACTCCTGCCCGTCTATGGGTAGGGCACTCCCCTAATCAGAATCTTGGACTAGATATTAGCCAGACTATTAATTACTGGAACCCAATCAAATAAAACTTCCATTTAGAAAAATATCCTGCACCCATATTAGAATTTTCAATTCCGTGTTCCCCCACTGACTGGGAGGAGAGATAATGACAAGTCTGTCAGAAAACCAGATACAGTCCATCCACCTATTGTCATCCGTGCCTCTCAATATGTGTTTTTTCAGCAGGAGTCTTGAATTGGATGGTGTGAGTGAGGGGGGTCAGTTCCTAGCACCTAGAGTTGAGGTGCCTACAGGGTGATCCTGCTGACCCAGTAGTGCTGAGAGCCCTACTTGGGAGGGCAAATGACTGTGCTTAACCTGCTACAGATGTTTCCCTCTGCCCTGGGTGGAGTAAGACTATCTACACTGTATTGTTACAGTGTTTGCACTTTTCAGATGTTCTAGATAGTACATACTGTATATTGATAATACATATTGTTTTGTTTATGTATTTGAGATAAAGGCTTACAACTTGAGAATATATATTTGAAAGTCAATGATAGAAAATATCTGTAAATATATTTAAGAGATTTCACTTAAATATGCACTTAATTGGGTCATCAGTTCTAGTACCTACTTGAAATGGTATCTGTGTTTGCTACTTTATTTTCTTAGTTTAATACACACCCTAAATATGCTGTTGTGGTATTTTGAAGTGAACTGAGTATTAAGCTCTACAATAGTGCAGAATGTCAGTTCCCTGCGTAACTGGACGTACTTGCATCAATAAAAGGACATATTGCTCTTCCTCAAGGTCCTGGTCTTTGTGTTCATCCTGCTGCTGGGGCGGGGTGCAGGGTGTGGGATGAGTGAGGAGGTGAGACCATTGACACACTCCAAGTGTTAAAAGGGACTGCACAGAAGTGTTCGTTTATGGTTAGAATAAAAACAAAATGCATTACATTGATTTTATCCTCACTCATAGTGACCCTATAAGACAGATTTGAACTGGTTTCTAAGGCTATAATCTTTATGAAAGCAGGCTGTCACATACTTCTCCTAAGGAGTGGACGATGGGTCCGAACCACTGACTTTTTCGGCTAAGCATTCAACCACTGTGCCACTTGGCTTCTTATTTATAGTTACCTATCTCAGCTGCATTGAGGTTTCTGTTTTGTGCCTTAGACACAAGGGCTTGATCTAGAGACGCGAGGTGTGCTGATGTGGGCAGTGATGGCACTGCCCTTATCTTTGGGGAAGTCCATTAGTGCGGTAGTACTGAAAGTGTCATTTCAGATGATTCTTTCGAGTCAGAAATAGGTGCCTGGTAATCTGAGTTGAGCCATTCCCTCAAAGTGAAGTTCTTCGTTAAATAGCTCCTGTCTACTTTTAGAACCCATGTTTGTGAACATGTTCATGAACTCACATTGCTCTGGGATCGCTTTTCCATCCTACTCTCCACTTAGAGCATTTGTGCCCCATTTTTTAGACCTATTCAACTCCAGATAATTCCTCAGAAATCTCTTTAAACAAGCACACTCTGAGCATGCCTTCTTAGTGCTATTTCTCCTCTCTCTGAGTTCTGCCAGGCCTTTCTCTATGAAAATCTTGGCCCTACACTAATCCCACCCCCACATATCTCACTCATCAATGAACTATCATATGTTTACAAGTCTGTTTCTTGCATTCAATTCTCCACACTTTCTGTGATAACTATCACCAGGACCAGCATAGTGCAGAGTTCATACCAGGCCCACATGGTGAATGAAGGCTGCCTTTCACTTTGCAAACCTTTAAGGAACATGTCTATGTTACGCCATCTAATATGACAGAATACAAAGTCAAGGGTATCTACAGTGACCATAGTAATTTCTGTGAAAAACCAAAGATTATTTATAAAATATACAAGTTACACTTATTTATTCTGTGTCCAACTTCCACATGCCTATGAAGCAACTGAAAATACCACAATTTGGGTCAGGAACACCTTAGTCCTCAAAGTAACATACTGGCTTTTCAACAAGGATGGAAAGATTTCATCTCATGTAATTTGGACCTGTTGTCACTAGAGACCGACCCTTAGATAAGAACATCAGGTTTGGTAGAGGGGCACAAAAAAGAGGAAGGCCCTGACATAACTGATGACACCATGGCTGCAACAATAGACTCAAGCATAACAAGTGTGAGGATCAGACAGTGTTTTGTTCTGCTGTGTATCGGGTTGCTATGAGTTGGACCTGACTTGATAGCATCTAACAACAACAGCCCCTTCATACGTGTGGCTGTTAATGTATTTCTCAGGCAGAACAGGATAACAGTGTCAGAGCAAAGAATCAAGAGTTGGCCTGTTTAAGGCTATAAGCTCTAGGACCTGAGGGAAAGAAAAAGGCATGTATTTGACTGGCTCTTGACTATGATGTTTTAGATCAGGGGTCCTCAAACTACAGCCCACGAGCCACACGCGGCCTGCCGAGGACATTTATCCGGCCCGCTGGGTGTTTTTGCCCCGTTTTGTTTTTTTCTTCAAAAAAGATATGTGCAGTGTGCATAGGAATTTGTTCACAGTTTTTTTTAAAAACTATAGTCCAGCCCTCCAATGGGTCTGAGGGACAGTGAACTGGCCCCCTGTTTAAAAAATTTGAGGACCCCTGCTTTAGATGGTGCCAGCAAAATTAAAATCATTTAAACTGAGTCCAGCTGGCTAACTGTATATACAACTTTTAAAAAACATTGTTTTTCTGAGTTGGACTGTTAGGATTTGATTTGTCTCCAACTCCTATCTGGGTACCCCTGAGCAAGTAATTTTTTAACCTTCAATTTCTCATGATTACAGTATCATAAAAATAATTAGATTAACACAGTGGCTGCCAATGATGAGCTCAGGCAAAGGAGCAGTTGTAAGGATGGCCCAAGACTAGGCAGTGTTACTTCCTGTTGTGCTTTGGGTCAGAAATGACTTGGTGGCACTTTGGCACCTAACAATAACAACAACATCTAATGTGGTTGTGATAAGATAAAGGACACAGAGCATAGTGTCTAACAGATTGTAAGCAGTCAATCAATGATAACTACAACCCAGAAGGTGAAATGTAGCACATTTTCTGAGAGCAGAATCTGGGGTAAGTATCAGCACTCTTCTCAAAGGAATGCCTGAAATCTTGGTTAATACAATGATATGCTGACATCACTGAAGCATCATTGGTTCCATAACTATTAACTTTCACCAGTATGTAAGCATTTATAAGAAAAATTCTCATGTTTGGTATTCATAAGATACTTTCTAAAGAAAAAGTCTACACCCCAACTACAGGGTTGTAACCTTAGATCATACCAATAGAATTTCTATCTTTAATCACAAAAAGAAACTCATAGTACTATAAGGAAAGTGGGGAGCTGCCAAACACACATCCACTCATCTGCCCAGGACTCAGATGTGGATCTTTAACAATAATGTTGGACAAACAGTGTTGTGAAGAGGACAGGGAAATAAGTTATGTGCCAGTCCAATCTGGCAGTTTGAAAGGCTGCCTGCCTGCTGAAACACCCACTAAGGTGTAAACTTTTAAACTTCAGAGGATATATTCATTGAACATTAGTGTTCCAAAATATCTGAAACAAATTCTGATTTGAAAGGAGTAGTCAAAATGATATTTGGGTACTACAATATACCATTTTCAATTCTGGACATAACATCTAAAAATAATATCAATAATGACATGTTGTACAAATAATACCATAGAACACATCACCCATCATCAGAATAATATGCAATTTTCTCCTGTACATATTGGTCATTTTTCAGACTAGGTCACCAAACAAGACTTAAAAATTTTTTAAATACTGAAATTATGCAAAGTATCTTTCTTAATTTAGAAATTAACAACAGAAGTAAAACTAGTAAACATACAAATCAATTGAACTTAATTCATTATTAAATAACTATGTGAAGGAAGAAGTTTATAGTAAAACAAAAAATACCAGAGGCAAGTAAAATCAAAACCAAACCAAAACTTATTGAATTCAGCAAAGGCATTTTTCAGAAGAAATTTTTTAACAATAAACACCTATATTAAGTTAGAAGAATGATCTCAGTTGAAACCCATCTTGAGGAACTGAAAACAGAAAACTAAACATGAACCTTCTAGAATAAAGGATATTATTAATAAAATCCAAAGATTTATATACAAGAGCAATTGAATATTGAGAAAACATTCTAGCCCAGTCCAGATCAAGTCTATAAGTCCGATATTGGCCCATATGTCTGATACCAATCATAAAGTCCTCTTCAGAATCACAAAACACATGCAATGATGCCGGATGCAGGAAGATCACAAGCCAGTGGATGGGAAGTCTTGTGGATCCATGGCATTCTAAGCATCTCAGCACTGGCAGGGGTAGCTACATAGTTCCTTCAGGTCCAAAACCCTGCCTCAGGGTAGCTTCATGTGGCTTCTCAGAAATGTCTCAAAGGGAGTTAGCCGAGTCTACTGCCTCCAAGGAGGAAAATACAGGAATTCTCAGAATCCTTAAGGAAAGGCCATGCCCACACAGAGGCCTCATTGGCTATACAATGATTGACAGGCTAGACTCCACCCCTTCACTCTAATCCTCTCAAATTGACCATAGATTATATGACTACCACAATCCCTGGGAATTTTAAGTCTCATTTGAAACTCATGAAGTCCCTGTGTTTGGACCCAACACTGATCTACACAGCTAAATTTGCACTTGCCATTCCTTTCATGTATCACACCTGGAATGGCCGATGACATTTGATGTGAGAACTTAGGAAAGGCCTGAAGATCCCCAAGCTATACCAGCCTGGTGTCTTGGTTCTCATTGGATTATCCTCTCTAGGACAGGAGGCCATGTGAAATATTGAGTCCCAGCATCTTCATATAAATCATTATTTAGATCTTTCTGTTTGTTATTCCTGTCTCCAGCCAGGGCAAAATTCTCCTGATTTGATTAAACACTTTTGTGTTTGCTAATCCCCTTGGAGATCAGTAATAGTAGTGAACTTTGTGAAACCAAAGTAATGGAAACGTGTCCCCTAGTTTCTAGAGATTGAGTGGCAGCAAAAACTCCCCATTTCCTTTCCCCATGTTGCAGCCTACTGTGGGCCTATGGACCTTTAATCTCTCTCCGCATTGAGCTGTGATTTGTGCTGAGGGTCAGCTTTTTGCTCCTTCTTCCTGAGACAGTGGAAACAATGTCAGCTTGGTGGCCTCTACTCTAGAGACTGGTGGAAAAGACTCTGGGTGCCACTGCCTGTGGATTACTAGCTTAAAGCATAATTCTGTTCATTTGTCAAAACCCAGGGTCTTTAGTGCCCACACATTGTGACTAAAAGAAAAAGGGGTGGACTGGAGGAAATAGGTGAGTCCCAGCTCCAAGGAGATAGGGAGGGCAAGTTGCTCTGAGAGCAGGAGTTAGGGTAAGAGGACATACAGCCTTTGATGCAAAAGTAAGATCCATCGAACATTGTCAATGAACCTATTATAAGTCTGCCTCTTTGTTTTCCTATTCTTTGCACTTCCGGGAAAGATGTTGTCATGCTTTCTAATCCAAAGTCATATGACATTTTTTCTCTGAAATTGAATTAAAATACTCTTTTTGCCTGGGGCACAGCGCCTGCCAGTTCCTCATCGGTGCCTCTCCTGGCTCACTGCTCGGTGTACATCCTTGGCCCGAAAGGCATCTTTCTCCTGAACCCAGGGTATCAGTGACCTGGTCCCTGGGATTCCCTGGCCCACACCAGCCACACTACCTCAGAACCCAATGAGGTCACCACCTGCCAATTGGTCCCCCTC